AGTGGAGTAAGCTGAGCAGTGTTCGAAAGGTTGGTTAATTACGAAGCAACTGGTGTGATGGTGGGCGACGGTGAACGACGGTAGAGTGATAGAAACGCTAGATTCGATGGCGAACCACAGCCACGTAGCAACCTCTGGCTTGCTTTCGGTACCTTCTTGAGGGGCCATGGCGCGGTCCTAGCCAGACCTAGCAGTGCGATAACAGTCTTTGTCAGTTAATCGAGAGGGATCTTCATAGAATCGATGAAAGTGACAAATACTAGTGATAGAGTATATATAAAAGTATAGCATAACTTTAAGAATTGATTAAGAATACAGCAAAACAGATATAAATAAAAGCATAGCATAACGTTAGAACAGAGCAGGAATAGAGTAAAACATTAGACAAGGACGTAGATAAATCATGAAATACCTGGCGAGGATTTCCTTCTAATTCCTCTCTGTCTGTTTTATTCCTTCATCTCAACTTGCTCCTCTGAAGGGGACCTGATCACTCAATTGCCCTGATCATCTTCATCGAATTTTTTTTCACAAATGAAGCAAGCTCAGTTCTTCCAAGCGATTTGTCAGCCCTCAACTGGTGACCCTTTGAATTTCACTGCAATATAATACTAGTCTAGGTTTTCTTTTTTCTGATTAGAGCCTCAACCGATTCGGAAAGTTGAAAGTTTGGCAAAGGTGAAAGCAGAAAAAGCGATAGAAGAACGAAGTCACAGCCTACTTTAAGAAGCCGGTGGATAGGCCTAGAGCCTTCATATTCCAACAAACTTCTACGTCTGCGTTGCCACTAAACAGGCTCTGTCATATCAAATGTTCGTGAGCTCTGTGTTTGAGCGTCAAATGCCAGAAACAAAAGAATTGAGAGAATCGAGCAAGAAACTGCTCTGGAGGCTCTGAGACCACCTACTTCAACAGAAATCAGTGCAAGTTTTGAGGATGTAGTAGTCACATACGAACTTCTCTGAAAATCGTAATGTAATATACTGTAGAGTCTGAAGTCCTTGGCGCTGATCAATTCAGTCTTTGAGATGCACCCGCTTTCGCTTCCCATTCGGGTTTCGATTTTTATCTCTTTCGATTTAGATTTCGTAATGTTCTAATACGTATGTGGCCTGTANGCTAATGGACAAGCCAGTGCTTTTATCCTCCCAGACGTGTTTGTTGGCAACCAACCTGTCCCGTAAGAATAGAAAGATTGTTTGACCGAGCTTGTATCGGTCCCATATTCGATCCTCCGACCATGTGTTATGACAGTGGGCCACTTGTAACAACAACACTTCCGCCCAGTAAAGGTGTAGTGATGAATATCAGCCCAATACTTTGACTAATTACTCCCAAAATTCATCCTATTCTGTTTATTTGGTAGTTTTTTTTCATTATGTGAAGCTTACAAATTTTATTAATGCAGAAGTATAAATGAACTCTGTAAGCTTTCATGGAGACAGAAGAAGAGAAATCCCTAAGCTTCTTGAGCGCCGCAAAGGATTATAGGAGTATAACCCAAGTAATATAGGAAGTGTTGAGATCTTAAGTAACTGTCGGACTTGATGACCTTTAAAGCTTTTTCTTTTTCTAATTCAAGTTTTCAAGATTGTGAATCGGAATCAATTAGCAGGTGTTCTTCTTTCGAGTAAAACATGTTTTCAAGCATTCCCATACAGAGATTTGCTGTTTACCACTATACTGTGAAGTGAAGTGTTATGTGAAAGTATAGCTTTACAAACGTCAAAACACCTGCATTCTGAAAAATAGTGATTATTGTGAAGGTTTTAAATTGTTAGGCTCGATAAAATACATATGTGCGCCCGCTGTGATGCGACTGTATCGTTGACTTTGATTAGTGCTGGCACAAATTATGATATTACCCTTTTCTCCGGTCGGAATATTCCATTAACTGTTTTCGCTACCAGCTAGTTTAGATGAATTTTCTTTTTTTTTTCAGAGCAATGAGCTCAGCTGAGACAGCTACAGAAGTTCTTCAGTATAGCAACACTGTGATAGCATGCACCTTTTCAATTTTCATTCATGGATATATAATACGGCGTATAAGGCTGAACGCTACTTCCCTCAACAACTATCTAAACTTCCTCGTTCTTCAAAGCGTCGTTTACATTTTTGGATCGGTTCTCCGACTTATATTGAATGAGGTATGCTCGATCCTCGAAGAGGTATTTGGAGAGAGATTTAGTCGTTGCCACAAAAAGCCAAAGTGCTCAAAAAGACCTTCCCTTTGTCTTCATGGGTCACGTCGAGTTGTCTGAGTTTCCAACACACGTACTCCATTGCGGATGATGTACAGCCTCTAACTGCCGTAAAAACTTCATTGTATATAGACAGCCGATATTTGAGTCCTGTTTTCGCCCATTTGGGCCTTTTTTGACACGAGAGCGCTCTATATGGTATCGACAGATTCCGCCTAGTTGCAAATCCCTTTTTTTATTCTAAACCGTGCACTTGATAACGAATTAATAAGAACTAGCTAGAGATACCTTTTTGAGATTTTGATAAGCTAATCAAATTCGAAGACAGAGAACTTACACCCTCTATAACGAATCATGCTGAGTTGAAGTGAAAAACTTGGAAAGTATTTGTCAATGCTTTTTCAGAGAACGACATTGAAGTTTGAGGAGCGGATCGGGTACCCTTTTATTGTGCTGCCATCGTGGTTCGCATCAGTAGTGATTCCCACCTGTCTTTTTGTAGAAGTTGTTGAAAGCATGTTGCTAACCCTTTTCAACATTCATCGAGTCTTAATCTTCTTAAGGCGGGTTGCTTTTTTTCGTTTAGTAAAAACGTATTTCGTTTAGAGGAGCCTTTTTAGACCTCGTAATGTTGGATGGTTCTACATCGTCGGTCTACCAATGGCCTTCTTCGGCACTGTTTTAGTTGGAGTTTCGACCACGTTTTTTCAAGTGGGTTTGATGAGGTTTTTAGTAATGAATGTATTGCTGACACCTTAGAATTTCCGATGAATGGTTGCGATTCCTGTGAAAAACTCAACGAGTGAGTCGCGACGGGGGTGCGTTTGGGTATGAGCTCTAGTCTGCGCTGGTGACCTTTGCTCTGCCACGCGTGGCTGCCGTCCTTCAGGAGCACTGCGTGGGATGTTGCTGCGTGTGCCCTCCTTCTCACTCCAACGGACCTGCGTTTCCCACCATATCACTGTACACAAACGTGCGTACCATATTGTTAAGCAATAAACAATTATCGAGACTTATACTACCGCGTGAAAGCCGTGAATAAAGAGAATGCGATGTGCGTGAAACTTGCCAGCTAGATTATTACAAAAGAAACAAACATTGAAGGGAATTAAATGTAACCCTGTTGGGGCATCTGTGATCTCGTGCCAACAGGGTAATTGATCTTGTATAGTACTGATCTGCCCGGTCTGACCAGGAGATATGGCGGGCCGGAGCGGTATATAAACTGTAACTCTGTTGTACATCCATTCATGGCTTTTAATGAACTTCCTGCTCTTCCCGACCAACCAAGGACACAAAATCTTCACAAACACATGAGGATAGAAGTCAAAACCTACGGGCAAACTCCTGCATCACTATGGGACCCTCGGCACCCGCTGCCCTCGAGGAAGGAGGTTGCGACGGAGTTCGCCGACGTCATGCACGGACCGTGCGGTCCGCTGCACCGAGTTCCCTCGCTCCTCCTTACGGCTCCTCGGTGCATGCTTCCGTTTTGTAGGCGATTTAGGTTGCACAGCGGCAGCTCGCAGCTCATTCTTCCATTGCGATTCCTCCTTTCCCTTCCCTCCTTCCTTCCCCGGCAGTGCGGTGGAATTCATATTGGATTCCACCGCATCCAATATGAATTCTTCATCCAGCTTCGCCGAATAACCGTAGTATCTTGGAAGCTTCGCCAAGATACTACGGTTATTCGGCGAAGCTGGATGAAGACGGGAACTGCGGAGATGACGTTGTCTAGAAGATATCTCTACCGAGCGATATGACTGGAAGGAGGAGTTAAAGGTGTTGCGTGCACACTCCACGCCACGGCGCCCGGTGCCACGTGACGTGCAAGATGCGAGCGACGCACAGCTTAAATGATGGGAACGGTACTGCGCGTCGAATAATGCGCGTGCGCTGTAATGAGAGCCCTTGCGTGGAAGAAGTCGTCGGCGTCACGACAGTGTATATCTATGAAAAGGAAGGAATAAACTGGTCTAACGTCTGTTTCGAATTATAGAAACACATGACGTCATGGTAGGGATAGGGAAATGGTCGGCATAACGCATCAAGTGCCCAAATATCATAGGAGATCTTCACGGAATGACTTATTTGCAAGCCAAAGTATAAACACTGCTGAAGCGGCATACCATCGATAACGAAGAGATGCGGTATTGTCGGAATTGTAGAAGTGGGAGAAATCGTAGATTGTCTAAAGAAACCATCCAACGAGTTCAAGAACTCTTGTATATGAGAAGGTGTAATTCTTTTCCAGGCTATAAGGGGTCTAATAAATGCGTGATGGGTGAAATGATGAGAATTGCTGCTTCTCCATACCCTCTTCAACCAGCTGTAATCTAGGAGGCTGAAAGAAAGATTATTCAAGGTAGTAGTGAAGCTCGCGATGATCATGTGTATAAGAGGTAGTAAGATGGTATTATTCACCACTGGTATGCAGCCACATTTATATTTGATGGCGGAAATTCTGCATTTCCGGACAACTATGAAACTACATAAATACCCAAGTTCTGCACAATTTTTTTCTTGAAAAAAAATTCAATTCAATTACAATTCGCTTCTTTTCAGGATATATCCTATTATGCTTCCTGCACCTACTACGTTGTTACTCTGACAATTGTGCTCATATGCTATTTTATTCTACGACGTCACTTCCGACTCAACAATTATTCCGATGCGATTCGAAAAGCACAAAACAAAATGTCGAAAGGGCTACTAATACAGGTCTTTTACAGTACATCAAATTCATCAAGTAACCCTACGATTATTCAACTCACTTTTTACTGATTTTGAAAGGAGCACCCACCTTCGCCTTCAAGTAGCTATTAATAAAACATATCTATTGAAATCGAAATTCGGCCATAATCCTGGATCGATATCCGCCAGGCCAACCGAGCTTTCCATCCCTTCGAGTCGCTTATTTGGTACCAGACCCGTCTGGAAGGATAAAAGCACTGACTTGCACATCGGCTGGCCGCACATACAGCACGCCACTACGGTCGTGAATAGAAGCCCAATGAGGGGCCGATCCCAAAATTCATCCATCAAGTTTTATTCAATGGCAAAGAGGGTAAGTGGGAAAGCTGCGGGATCCCACTGTTGGGAGCTAAGCAACCTTTGCGCATAAGTATGTTACTTCCTGCCACTGTCGGTCTAGAGAACTGTTTCCTACGCAAGCTGTACGGGAAAGCTGTTTCACCCGATGATGCACACTCCTCCTATGATTTGAGGTTATATTGCTTGACGACTGGATATTTGCGTTCCTGATTTCCCGAAATAGCGGTAACGAGATGGGAGCTTGGGAGGCTGTTGAGCATATAAGCCTTTCATGTGTAGACTCATGAAGAATGGGAGCAATTAAAAAGCTCTAATGGTTGTACGTACATAACTATAGTCGTGAAATGTATTGTTTTGACTTTGATTGCACCGGAACCGAAGACTCCACGCAATCGATTACTTTGCTGCAAACTATTAAGGAATTGTTTACCGCGTATATTCCTCGAAAAATCGAGTTGCAGGGATAGAAGGCAGATTTCGATCTTGACCCAACTCTGAGAATGAACATTTTAGATTTTTGTACAAACTATCGCATTAGCAATCATGGGTATCGGACAACTTATATTTTTCATAGCTTCGCTATTTCGTTTCAGCGACGAAACCGCGGCTGAAATCCTTGGAATATACATGTTGGTCAGTTATAGAATTTTCTTTGAATTCATACGTGGTGAAAGTACCTCTTGTTCTTTCTGTACCGTCTCAGTTGGGGCCCCATTGAATCTCAATTCTTACGAATTAATTGAAAGACTTATACTTACTTATACTTATACGGCTCGTTTTCAATCATGTGCGAGCACCAGCAAAAAACCATTCGCTTCTGTCTTTCGCGATCGCCATNCACGGTAGACTCAGGATTCGACGAAGATGGCGATGTGAGGAGTCGTTCAGCTGCTGTCGCAGCTGTTTCACGTGATCGCCAAGCACACCCCTCTATCTCGCAGCAGGCATACCCTTAGATCATGAAGATCCTATGGGAGCCCACTCGACTGTACTTCTTGTCCATCTGTCGTCATTTCTTCTCATTATATGACTGGCCCATCGAAGTTTTGCGTTCTTGAATTCCACCGGATCGCGGAGTCGAGACATTCTGCGCATACCGGAGCTGCGGAGACCGGCTCGATATTGCGTGAGTCGGTTGAACCTCAAAAGACATCTCTCAAGCGCTCTGTGACTTGTGCTCGGAGCACTTGACGTGGATGCACTGGTCACCCAAGTCTCCGAGCCGTAACAGAGCGCAGGAAGAATGGTGAAATCAAACAGATCAGCGCGAAGTTCTTGATCAGCGAGATGGTTGGCAACTTTTTTCAGAAGCCCGAAGGCTGATCACACTGATTTCTCCCTTCTCACCGGTTTTTCCTTCATGTCGTTGTCTATATTCATGGAACGCCCAAGATACACGTAGGACGAGGTTTCCTTGATAGATGTGCCATCTTAATTTGATCTCGGCCTCGGTCGGCCCAAGCATTCGTCATGAACTGTTTCTTTGTTTGGATGATCCGCAGCCCTACTTTCTTTCCTGCTTTATTAAGTTCAGCAAGCATAGTCTCAGTTTCCGCAATGCTGCTTGAAAAGAGATCGATATGGTGCGCAGAGCGAAGATTTGACAGGAACCGGCCTTTCACACGAATGCTCTTTTCCTCCCAGCCTCGCGACTTCATAGCCCACTGCAGTGCGGCTGTGAACAGTTTCGACGAACTGGTGTCGCCTTGTCTCACACCCATCCCAATAAGAATGGGGAGAGGTCGTTGGAACAGCTTCACCGTCGCGCTGCAGCGACTGCTGCAGTCAGCTAGTGTTCTTATGTAGGGAGGGTCCACTCCTTGATCGACCAGTGCTGACAGGACCGTATTCTTTTCAACGCTGTC